AAAAATAGTGACTGCTTTGAACTTTCTTCGACAAAAAAAAAGAGCAGGATAAACACATTTCGACTTAAAGCGAAAGTCGATGATTCTCTTCTGGTATACATACCGACACATAATTTATTATCTGATATTTCACACCCTCCAAACTCCTCGTCTTCGGTGACGGTCCTGGGGTGAGCCGAGCAATCACACATATGCGCCGATCATCCTCGTCGCCGGCGTCTACGTCGTCGCGACTAATTGGCCCAATGGTTCGCTTGGGTCCGAGGGGCACGTCCAGCGTGCTTGCCCCGATCCCCCGGAGGGGGTCAACGAGAAGCTGCCATCCGTCGCCCCTCTCGCACCCTCCCCGGGACTATCATCGGGGATCGTCGGGAATTAATCGACGAAGCTCCCCGGCAGACGGCAGATAACGACGGAAATTTCTTTCTCGTCGATCGAGGCCTTGATTGAGTTGTATCGGCGTGAGCGTGCCAACTTGGCGAATCGCGTTTATGCGCAGGATTCGAAAGAAGGGCAGGGTCTGTGTCTCTCAGGTCAAGTTAAGGGCGAGTCGTTTCGACCCTCAACTCCGATCACGTCGAGATTAACTTTTTCAGCTGATCCGACGAGACGAAATTTACTCATTTACCGTTCGATCAATTATATAAATTATCGAATAGAGACACGTTGAGACGCTTTGATTGCGTCTCTTAGTTATGAAACTCTTAGTGTACGCATTTGTCAAGCTTCACTCACACCATAGACACTTGATGCCAAAAAGCGAAAAAAATTGTGGGAAAGAGATCCGAATATCTCGATGCAGTCGATGGATATTGCCTTAGTGACCGATTGATTAGCATAAATAACAATATTATGACGGTTCAGATACCGCACCGTGTGTTCTTGTTAGTAAACAAGACGAAGTCTACGAGTATGTGTATAGATGATAAAGATTCAGGTGATACTGTACCGCGTCCCAGTGTCGTCGATTATTAACGTAGGCCGTCGGAAACGATTCTATCTACGCCAATGAATGTTCGTCTGTGTATTGGTCGTATGCGACACATATCAGGTCATCGGTAATGTAATGACGCGTAATAATTATGCGGGTTAGTCCGTTAGAAAAGACAGTGGAATTTTACTGGATACTCTACACAATCACGCCAGCATAATCAACGTCAGACGATACTTGATATCGCTTTTAGTGGCAGATACAGCGGAATTCCTCGATGAGAGTGACTGTACCTTTGGTAAAACTTTAGAATACTTTTCCGAATTTTGATATATTTTTGCTACTTGCTGGATAAAAATCTTTGTTGTGACTACGACAATGATAATCAATGGGGGCAGCCCGAAAAAAATGTTACCGACCTATTTTTTTCAAGTTTTTTCGGATCTTATAATACTCTGAAGAAAAAACGCACCAAATTTGAACTATTGAGTAAAAGTATAAAAAACTCAATGAACTTTAATAAACCAAAGACATAAACTATTCTCCGCTATAATTTAGACTTTATAATATAAATTTGTGCTTTTGATTAAAGCAGAGCATGATTGTGAATAATGCTCTGCTTTATTTTGCTTGTAATTTATGATACGTCCTATCTTGCGTAGAGGTCTTGCTAATCTTTTCAGTATTCATTTTTAGTATATCGTAGATATACTCATTTGTTTAGTAAGACGAAAGATTCGAGTAACGACTGTGAACGGTATTTAATCAGTATAAAATCGATATTTAAAATTTTTAATATATGGAATAAAATTTTCGTGTTTTTTCCTACAAAGATCTTAGCCCCCCTCCCCCTTCCCTTAATATATATATAAAACTTTGTATATATCTTTTTTACAGCTAGTTTTGTAAATTATTGAACAAGAAAACGTAGTAGTTTTTGGTGTAATAGTACTTCTGAATATTTATCAAAACAATTGTCAATTAAAAAAATAAGCGGGTGACATTTTTTCGGACTCCTCCGATTGATTATCACTGTCGGAGTTACAACAAAGATTTTTACCATGAGAGTAGCAAATAAATATCAAAATTCGAAAAAGGCCCTATTCTAAAGTTTTATTGTATCTTTTTATACGCGACTAGGACGACAGGGAGATCCGTGATTATCAGCCCTGTAATTTCGCTCGGGTTCTCGTCATCGTCGTTTGTTTGACGTGACGTGTACTCTTTTTAATTCATCACTTGGCAAATATCGCTCCTAACATTTCGATATTTTGCGTCTCACATAATTTCTTTGTTCGTAATTTCGCACAAGTATTCGATGTATGGATTTTGTAATTGAAGGTGGAAGTGAGACGTATAGACATTTTACATTAATTTATTATCTTTCCGTTCCATGCGTTACTTATCTTTTAGAAACTAAAAATTATTATAGAAAATATTAATACGTTTCTTTGCAAAATAAGCTCAACTGACGGAAGACAAATCACAGGAACAGCCGCGTCAATCAACGTCGTGTAGTTTTATAAATACTAGTCTACTAAATGCAACTTTATCTCTAAGCGCGGGGAATGGGATTTTACAGTATTAGTTCTATATTTAGTTTCTATATCTTTGCTGAATCTGCACATCTGCTGGCAACAGTTGCTAAAATGAATCATCCCGCAAAGATAAATCGGTATTTCGTATCTACGAATTCATCAGTCATCAATCGTGATTCGTTTCACGATTAAATTTCTTAATTATTAAATCTTTTATAATTTTAATAAACTAACTACTCTCGTTATTTTTTATTAAAAAGTATAAGAACAATTTTGAAAAAAATATGTCGGAATAGATTATATCTAGAAATTTTTATTGGATTATAAACGCTATGTGTATCTGGGAATTTAATGATTCATTTATTATGTGCTCTGCTATATCTTATCTATATTATATTATTATATTTTTTATATACTGTAATAATTGTTACAAATTTTTGACCCGCTACATTTGTTCATTAGTTTATTGAAATCTGAATCGGAGTCTGAATCGACGAATAATGAAACTATCTGGCACTTCCTGGCAGTTACGCATCCACCGGAAACGGGTGGAAGAACGTACGGAATTCTGTGCTATTTTTTACCGCAATTATCGACGTTTTAAGCTTTTATGATTCACTCTTTAGTCAAACGTTTCGCTTGTTCAAAAACTTTTAAATAAAACGAGCAGCTAGAAGTTTCTTCACAATTCGTGTGACGTAAGCTTCGATCTTCAAAATTCACGTGATTCTTATCACAGTGCAAATAGAATTTGCTTCAGCGTTATATTTCGTCTCGAAAAGCTCATTGTCGTCTGCACATTCATCTTCTTGGCGCTTGTAGTCTACAGTCTACAGGTTTCGGTAAGGAGTTCCTCGTTCCTCGGTATTCTTCCGTTCATCACGGAATGTCTAGCCTATGCGCGATTACTTTGTGCTTTTGCTGACCAAGCACGTTTTCATTCCACGAAGAATGATATTTTGATAAGGGATGAACGTGACATCAAGCGAAAACCTTGTATAGATGTAATTGTGGAAAATCACGAAGATCAGCACGTAATTATCCAAATGGAATAAATTCGTATTCGAACAGCGTCTCTGTCTCTGTCTCTGTCTCTGTCTCTGTCTCTCTCTCTCTCTGTCTCTCTCTCTCTGTCTCTCTCTCTCTCTGTCTCTCTCTCTCTCTCTCTCTCTCTCTCTGTCTCTCTCTCTCTCTCTCTCTCTCTCTCTCTCTCTCTCTCTCTCTCTCTCTCTCTCTGTCTCTGTCTCTGTCTCTGTCTCTGTCTCTGTCTCTCCCCCATTTGTTTTTGTTTCTTTTTATACCGTATATCTACAAATCTTATAAATCAAAGTAAAAATAGAAAATTGAAAAGTGACGCGACAGATGAGAGTATAAAATATTCTAAGAAATAAATATACTTTCGTTATTTTGAAATATTAACATAGCATGTTTACCGTTAGTAAGAAAAAAGAAAGAGAGATACTAAAAGCTTTTTTCGTTTTACGTCAAATTTCTTTTTAATCACGTTAAACACAGCACGGTGTATCAATTGATAAGACGAATTTAATAATGATAACGCAAACGATAATACAGTTAAATAGAATTAAACATAACGTTATCGTCAAACGTTTAGCATGTACAAAGTACGTACTTGGTATTAATCGTGTTGATCCGCTTTCAAAAGTCGTTCTTGCGAAATTGCACACAAATCTTATTTTCGCACAACTTACACAGAGGATACGAAGCCCCTTGATCAACATAATTTTTTCTCTAACGATTTTTCTATTTATTTTATCGCGAATGGTTCTTTGGTTGTTTCTTCGGCATGCAAGGTCGCGGCATGTCAATCATACACGTGACTCGACTTTAGCAGGCGCATTTTATCACTTTTTGCTTTAAATATAGCTCATTCTCTCGTCAATTTTTAACCACGTTCGGACGTGGTTTCGTGCGTCATTAATCGTTATTTCCATAATATTTTGCAACAGACGTCTTTCTCAAGCGTCAATCGAAGTTCAAGGACCAATTTGAAGAGTTCCTTGCTTCTACTATTCGTCGCCACGATATTACGTTCTCGATGACACCATTATCATATTGTAATTAGATGGTAATCTTGTCCGTGTATTACTGCGCAACCAGTAAATAAAAATAATCGTTGGATTTACCTTACTTACTTAAGATTAATTTTTTCTTAACAAAATTTATACGATTTATATCGTTAAAAAAATATATATTAAATAATAATAATAAAGTAATTTTTTTATTTCAGAAAAAATTACATATATATACATATATCTCTTCTGAAGTAGAAAAATTTAATTTATTATTATTATTCAATAATTTCTTATTATTATTCTTATTATTATCTAATAATAATATCAACATTTCGTTTGATATTTTATCGCACCATTTGTTTGGACATCAGCAGGACCTTTTTCTTTAAATACATTATTTTTTTTGTAATACAAATTCCCCGTTTATTTTAAAAGATTCTATACACAATGTTATTCATTAATGCCGCTTTCTTATAATAAAGTTTCTTTAAATTTCAGACGCCTGTCTACGTTGCCAAGCTGAAAGCAAGAAGGAATGGTACGGTCGACAAGACTGTGTAGTCGTGTGGGGCGAATGCAACCATTCGTTCCATTACTGTTGCATGTCACTTTGGGTCAAGCAGAACAATCGGTGCCCGCTTTGCCAACAAGAGTGGTCTATCCAACGAATGGGGAAGTAATCCGTCGCCTCTTATTTTTTTTTTCGAGGTGAAGTTATCCGGCTGTTGTGACGAATTCTCGTTATCGCCAAGAACGTACCCATCAAAGTCCAGGGTTCACTTTGCTTTTTTCATGCGAATATTATTGCCAATGTATAATAATTATTTCTTAATATATAGGATTTATGATTCTGCGTATGTATTTATCGGCCAATTTGTCTAAATAAAATGTCGAATTGTACATTTGATATGGTGGTATGATGTAACATCAAATTCTAGATAGATTATCCTTTACTTTATGTATTTAAATAAAAAATGAAATTTAATAAAAATGATATTGCCAGTAACGAAATTTTTTATTGCTCGATGTAGAGCCTTTCGTGAGTACGTCGCACGCGTTCTGCGAATGCATCATATTGTCCCCCTTCTTTATATAAATATCTCGCATTCATCATATTCGTTCATCATATTCTACTTTACATATACATGAAAATGTTATTGTAAAATTCATATAAAATTCGAAAATAATGTTCTCACGGTAGCACAGAGTTATTCGTGAATTGCTTGAAAGACAAAAATAGACATATCGATCCGAAATATTCGGAAGTGAGGCAGATCAAAGAGACGGATCAAAGATTACTTCGCGATCTCAAAGTACAAAGTGCGCTTCGTCGACTCGCCGAATCATCGCGATCAATGTCCGAGACGAGTGTAATTGGAAAGTACTGTTGTCAAATATGACGTCATAAAACATACTTATCTTGCTTAGGCGTCATAGCAAACAATACTCGACTAATCAGTATTGACTTCATATTTTGACTGGTATTGACATCATATTTTTCCACGCGATTAAATTTAACCTTTTATGAACATTAGGTTATTATAAAAGTTTGCTAATTTGTGCTATTAATTTGACAAGTTTTCCCTCATTTTCTTCTGAAAATAACATTACAAAGAAGCGAAAAAAGAAGAAACAGAAAAAGAGAGAGAGAGAGAGAGAGAGAGAGAGAGAGAGAGAGAGAGAGAGAGAGAGACAATAATTAAATTACAATTATAAAATTCATCGGTAAGTAATTAGTATTTAGCTACTACTTTTATATAGGCATATAAGGGATGTCTGATGAAATTAAATGTAATTTAAGTAACCGTTGCTTAGTTACTAACTTTGATATATTTAGACTGATAACGCGCGCGCATTGCGTTGCGCGTTTAAGCGGCTGCAATGACATTGCTTAAATTTTGCAAAATCATGTCGTTCTATTGCATATTCTGACTAATAATATAAACATATTGTATTACTCGCTAAATGTTATCTATTCGTACTTAACATACAAAATAATGGGCCATTATAAAAATATTCATAGTAAGTATTTAGTACACATTATGTACATATTTTACGTAATGAAAAACAATACTCCAGAAAAATCAAACAATTACGACTGCTGCGTTAAATGTCTTATGTGAATTTTAAGAAAAAAATTTATACACACACACACACACACATCTAGCGGCACGATAGTCTGCCAAGATTCCAAGTACATAAATAAAAATTAACTAGTTGTTAAAATATACAATATTTTATTGGAAAGTATTTTATGCAGTACAGATTTGTATTTAACATTCTAAATTCAAGAGGTTCTAAAAAAAGTCTTGATAAGTAAACATGTTACAATGTGGTCCCTATCTATTTTATTTAAGTACTTTTTATTTCAATACATTTTCAACGAATAATATTGTAATTATAATTAAACCTATTTTTTTCATTAAAAAAATCTTTAATCTTCTTTAATCTATTTACCTAGACAGCATAAGACGTCCTTAGAATAATCCTGAATATATTCAAGATATAATGTAAATATTCAGTAAACACTAGAAGTAATTTCGGAATGTTAAGTACTATAATAAGATATAAATATCCACTACATATCTGTTACCTGCATATTGTCTCAAATAATATAAGAATCCAGACAGCACAATCTTCTGAAAGATATCTCAAGGATAAACAGTAGAAATATAACCTATTGAATTTGTTGATTCCGAATTATGTTGATATATGTGCTTTCCCGTTTAAATTATAAAGATAAGGAAAAAAAGATTCGATTCAATTCTAAATCGAATTTAGCAAATTGAATATATTAATACCTCGATTTCTTTTAAAGTGAACAGATTTTAGAATTCTAAGAGATTAAAACTTAAAATGATTCGAGATCTTTTTATTTCTGAAAATGAAATTGAACTATTAATGTATTTAACTTGCCAATTTCGAAGTAAAATTGAGTACTTTTTTTCTTTATATGTATAATTTAAATAAAAAAAAGACAGCTCAACATTATTTAAAAAATTCAATACATTTTTCCTCTTTTCTTTAAATGTCTAAGAAATATCTATAATTCGTATCTCACAGAAGTCTTTAAAACGTTTGACAAGATATTCTCTAGATATCCTTAGGTATTCAGCCACCATTCCTCTTTTGGAGCATCCAAAATAGATCTCAGGATAAAATTTAGATATCCACAGGATATCTAGAATGTTTATTCTGACGTTCTTAGGATTTCCAAAAGATTGTACTATCTGAGTAACAAGTATCTTATATATCATTTATAATAACATCATCAAATTATATTATAATTTAATGTCAGAACTTTATGGTTCAGTATAGTTACCATTCAGTATATAAATTCCGAAATATAAGCAAATAATCATTACGATAAAATATATCATCATATTCAAGAGATTTAGATGGTGTATTTGATTTAAATTTATTTCTTTCATAAAATATAGGAAACACAGATAATTTTAGGATTTTATGTATCACATCTATATTGTCTTCTGATTGCGTTTCTGATTTAAAAGTTACAAGCAATGGACAGCATTGTTCTTTGAATTTTGTAATTGACTCTGACCATATTGCCTTAGTGAAATCTATATCAAATCCTAAAATCACATTTGGCTTCTTATATACTTCACTGTGCACATAATCATGATATAACATACGACAAGTTTCGAAAGTTATTTCCTGGTTTTTGTAGTCTGAAGGACTAGTATCTTGCATAACATGAAACATGTTGAGTGGTTTTTGTTCTATAACTACAATCGTTAAATTCTTCACAGGTAAAATATACAGGAGAAATTTCCATGCTAACAGATATTTCTTATCCATAGAGTCAGTGCATATTATATGAATAACATAAGAAGAACCTAACAGATCTTGAGGATGTAATAAATCTGTTTCATTCACAAGACCATGATAAAATGTCAACGGATCTGTCACATATTCTGAATACAGACACCAGTCCTCGAATTTTAAAAATCTTTCTGGTTCTAGATATTTTGTAATAAGTAATTCAATCTTAAAAGTAGGTTTGTCTTCATAGGGAAAATCATTTAATTTTAGGCGTTCACGGCCAAACACAAGTTTATCAATGTCCAAAGTGGAAGAATAAACTTGTTCGATATCTAGTTTGAGGCTTAACAACAACTCATGGCATCTATAGCTATGATATCCTTTGAACGAACTTTTATGATAAGTGCAATAGTTCGCTGAATAGCAATTCAGGCAGGTAAGCAGATTCTCCTGTGTGTGACAAACTGAACATGCTTTTGCCCAATTGATCATCTGTTCTTCGTATGGTTCCAGGTTGCGTGATAGAGATTTCTTCATTAATTGTACAAATTCCTGCCTTGATTCCGTCCATCCCTGGTAGGTTATGCAATGAATGCTCCATTTTCTCTGTATTATTTCCCTGTTCAATGATAGAGCCGTACAGATCGTGTCGTGTTCCATATAATCCAACATTCTGTGCTTCTCACCGCAGTAAGATATCAGGACGCATCGTTCACATGTTATAAACTTATCATTAAATATTATCTTGCATACGTGACAAATATTCGGATTGAAGAATTTGTTATAATATTGAGATATCTTCGGTGCACGATACAACTGCACGCTAGCGAAATTCTCCATGTCTATATTTTTGTTTAACTGATGATAACGTATTTATAATATGAATTTTTGATATTGCTGAGTTAACTTAACTGAATTGCTTGAAACTGAATAAAACTGAGTAAAACTGAATACGTCAGTTTAAGTAATCAAATTCTCCATATGTACACACTCGGCAATCACTTGGAGGACAAAGAGGTGTTGTAGTATGCTCAAGCAGTTTTCACTACTTTTAAATTCGTGCGTTTGACGCATGGCGGCGCTGACAGAGATTCGAAAAGTATGAGATGTAAGAGGGTAACAATAAGGGCTGCGTTCGAAAATGCTACTCGGGTACATCTGCTGCGTTGGTATGAGAGAGACATAAAAATGAGATAAAGAAAGAGAAAGAGAGAGAGAGAGAGAGTATTCGAGTGACGTTTCGGAACGCAGCCAAAGAGAGGAGTACACTAAATTCAGAGAGTCAATTAGACTGCGTTGCGATATTTACTGCCAGCACTGAAAATCTATAGTATACATGACACAAACTATGTATTTTCAGTATTGGCAGTGAATATCAGAACGCAGCCTTTGTATGAATCTCTGGGTTTGTTCTTTCTAGCTGAACTTTCTGTATTAGTTCAAGAAATCTAAACTGAAGCGTTCTTTCTAGCAGAAATGACATCAAATGTTACTGTTCTTTCCATCAGTGTAGCAGAACTTAGTGCAACAATTCACTGAGTACATTGCGAGGGCAGAATTTACATCAGTCAGGCAGTGTATTATGAAAAGGACAGACATGCAGTTGTTAGATTAATAGATACTTCTGCAGTTTTTACCTTATTAATATCAATAAATTACGCCACATGAAATAATAGTATATTATCATCGCATTCTTCATCCCAGACAGATTTCGCATGTAAGAGGCATGGAGGTACATAAAGGTAATAAAAAAATAAAATCTTTCACATCTGAAGAATCATTAAGCTGCAATAGCGTGTATCAGCATCAGCTGCAATAACGTGTTGCGCTATGTTGTTTCCTGCACTGTGGCGTTCTTTTTTATCCTATCTGGCACACTTCTGCACCTATGAATTTTTGCTGTACTCGTCAGTTCTAGTTCTGAACCAGTGCAATTCCAGTGCAGCACTAGTAGTTCAGCTAGTAGAAAAACCTTTATTAGGACAGACCCTTTATTAGGCTGCGTTCCGCTATTCATTGCCAGTGAGAGGAAATTTATAGTTTATATGACACAAACTATGTATTTTCAGTGCTGGCAGTAATATTAGAACACGACCCTAGTAGGTAGGTTGTGAGATACAAGCCGTAACAAAAGGATTCGTATCTCATAGTATCTATAACATTGAGCACTTTTCAAGGATTATTGACAAACTAAATTGTACCTAAAGATACAACGAACTACGAATATTCGTTACCACGTAACATGTGTCGCGAATAATTAATATTTTTAAGTAATATTGCAAATAATTAAAATTTTTCTCATATATTATTCTAATGTGACTTGGGGCACGTCAAGTTTTTGTCACGATCATCAATTTCTTGCGTGAATATTTTTTCCAGTATATAACTATTGATATAGTTATATATTTATATAGATATATCTATATAGTTATATATTTACATAGATATATCTATATAAATATATAACTATGTATATAGAAATATATATATATATATAAAATATATAATTATATCAATAACTATAGATAGATATAGTTATTGACAAAACCAGTGATACGTTAAATATTTTCAATTTTAAAAATCAATTAATTATTAAAATGCAATATGTTATATGAAAAGTAATTTTATGGAAGAAGTTTTATCATTATTAGAATTATTTTTTTCTTTCGAAAGATAAAATCACAACGAACTAATTACTTAGCAATTTTAATTAATTTCCCCTCTATTTTTAGTAAATACTTCTTGAATATTTTTTGGTATTCTATATTATGGCATTTCTATATTATGCCGAAACTCGCATTAATCATGCACGAGAAACAAAGAATAAAATTGTAGTGCAGCAAAGTGTAGAATCCGTTTGGAGTAACACATTATTCCCAGTGTGTAAAAGTGTGTAGTGACGCTAATTAAATTAATAATGGCAAAAACTAAGTGCGCGAAAATCCATCGGATTATTTTGTACGGTATGAAACATTAAACATTTATCAGTGCGCGCGCGCATCGTAACTAGACTGTATCCTTGACGATACAATTTATCGGCACAATTCTATTTGATAACACAAACTTATGATTCGGGCGACGACGCGACTGCGTGGTGACGTCTCTTGATGATAGAAAGCGATGGGGTCAACGAGCTAGAAGCAACATTCTGACCTCCCTTTTCATTCCAATTCCGAATGTAGAATCGATTCTTCGTCTCGCAATTGCTCTTATAACTTCTTAGATCGTAACATTTATGGCCCTTTAAACTCCTATAACTTTCGCTATAGAAGCTACAATTGCTCAAGTAATTGATAATTATTTCAAGCGATATATTCATACATTGCAGCATTATATCTTTTGCACGCGCATCAGAATTTTATGTTTATATTTAAAGAAGTGCAAACTGCACCGATTACATTTCAAAGATTCGTGTAAAAATTTATATGTAACTTTAACAAAAATACGCTTTTTCTTTGTTAATACGATAGTTTTTTACGGTGGATAGAATGCAGAGCCAGATATCTTAGTTTTCGAGGACACGTCCTCCTTTCTAAAATGTCCTCGAATATATTCGCAGAATTTTCAAATTTTTCCTGGTTGCTTTGCAATTAAGGAGATCATCACTGTCGGCAATATCTATGTTATTGGATTTTCCCGTCATTCATTTCTGAGAAATAACATTAACAATCTCCTTTTATTTCTCTATCTTTTGATAAAATTTCTAAATATCTCCCGTCCTTCCATCAGTCCCCTCACAGACACAAGCATGGCAGTGGTGCTTACGAAGTGGCATATGGTATATTTTTCGCATTTTTTTTAGCATCTTGGCGATCCTCTGTCACGCAATATCATCTAAACGTATGAGTCACAAAACGCTTCGTCTTGGATTATCCGCGAAACTCTCTCGAGGTGATGCAATCGCGCGCGGAGGAACCAACATTCTCGTACACCGTTCGAAAGAACACGCCACATGCCGACGTCACATCACCCGCCCATTCTCATTGAAAGTGATTCGCTTGTCACGGCATCAAAATTCCAGGGACAAGAATCAACGTCGATACGTAAACCCCTTCTCACAAGAAGTCTAACTTTAACCGATAATCGTTCAAAGAAGCGATAATAATCGGCATAATCATGCTGGTCAGCGAGGTCGTTTGTAGCGGCCACCGTCTTGCCTTTCTACGACACGATTGGTCGAGCCTCCGGACGAGCCTCCTCCGCGTGATAACACGTAACAGCGAGCGAGTAGCAAGCGGATAGTGACGATAACCTTCGGACGAACTTGCGAATAGCGTTACGTGCGGCATAATACGCACGAGCGCGCGCAGCTGATACTAACCACGCGCGATATATCGCTATTTTTCATGCTGATGAGTCAAAAACATCTTTTTTCTTTTAAGCTGACTTATATCCAAGCGAAAACGCTTGGATACAGAAATAATCGGGGGGCGAGCAGTTGCCTATGTTGGCAAATTTTCAGGGACGACGAACGCGGAACAGCGAATTGTTTAATGTAATACTCTTTTTCTCTTTTCATTAATTATGTCCTTCGAATAGTCAAGTGGAAGTTACTTAATTTCTTGCAAAAGTTGCGTAAGATAAGAGAGAAAGAGAGAGATATACGATGAAAAATCGATCACTCATTCTTTTAAAAATCTTTCCTCTCTCTCTCTCTCTCTCTTCAGTTCTATTTCAGTTTCATTTCTATTTCGTTGTTTCAAACTTGTGCGATTTATTGAAATATTTCCTAAATATTTCTAAACTGTCTGTCATATATTCACCAGTAGAATCAACTCGTAAAATATTCCGATGTTTCTTTTAACAAATCTACTTTTGCACATTTGAAAGGACTTGGTTAAAAAAAATCCATGAACGCCAGCCATTTTGGATAACGACAATACACACGCGAAATATCTTTGGATGTTATATCTACGCGAGCGATTTTTCATTCATGAAATTGTCTTAAATCAACAAAAGATTATTGTGTCGAAACTTATAAGATGTATTGTGCATTTTATGATCAATTTGACGAGTTGCAGGGTGTAAAACGATCAAGATTAAGTTCACGATTTTGGCAAACAACTTTCGTGCTCCAAGATGATCAGTTTTCAAACGAAATAAATCTCAGCACATAATAAATATTTAACAATTTCATATGATACGAATAAAAATGAGTATAATGTGGTGAAGAAACTCAACATTTCAACTTATCTTTTTATATTGTATTAATATTATTTTATTTTATTTTTTATAAATTGTACAACTTTGTACTTTGACATCGAGATTATAAATATTTTTCAGCTGTTAGTTCTCTTCTTATCAATTTTATATTTAAATAAACAAAAATATTCTCCAAGAGGGAAACTGCAAACTTCTCAATGTACATATATCCATCGAACGATCGTCTGCTCAAGAATCAAGAATAATCTCAAGATCAAGACAGAATTGATTTGTTTTGTTAATTGCGTTTATAGAACGTTAGAGCTCTTATATTTCCTTGGCTCATTTTTATTTATACCATTCATAAGTGTAATTACAACTAAAATATACACGCAACAACAATGTTCGTCCACGTTACCCGTGAGCAGTAGCAAGTAAGAACAGCGTCGCTACTCCGATCCAAAGTGTGCGACTAGTTTTATGATTTCCATGATACGGCGCGTGACTGCAAAGGTCGGACGTGCGATTACGCTACTTATATATTTTTTTTTAATCCCCGCGGGAAAGAGATTAGTTTACGGGAGGTACATCGCGCGATTCGCTCTTACATAAAACCTTCTATAATATTATTTGCATCCGTCATTAATGTTTTATTCTTGCTGATTCAAGGCCGTGCTTACGCAAGCGGCGAACGGTTTGATCGGTCTTCAGCCCATGTCGATATCGCGCTACTGACATGTGCGCGATATTTCAACATGCGATGTTTCAGCAACAATTGTCTAGTCACGCGACAGGGTCATCTATAACGCAATTGACATTTCTTTGCGTACGCCTGAACCTCGCGTGTCACTTCCAATTTATTAAAGTTTCCAGTTTTCGGTAGTTACTGCCCGCTGATCGTATCCTTTATAAGCGTAAGCGTGACTTACGTTGTTGCAGCGCAGATCGCGTCGTGATACAGAATTATTAGCCTGTTGCAACCTCGATAGAATGAAACTGCTGGTACATTCCATTCTGCGGAAACTTACAAGGCACAAACTATCT